AGATGGCCAGGTGATATCGCACAGACACATCAGGTGAGATGGCCAGGAGAGATCGCACAGACACATCAGGTGATATGGCCAGGTGAGATGGCCAGGTGATATCGCACAGACACATCAGGTGAGATGGCCAGGTGATATCGCACAGACACATCAGGTGAGATGGCCAGGTGATATCGCACAGACACATCAGGTGATATGGCCAGGTGATATCGCACAGACACATCAGGCGAGATGGCCAGGTGAGATCTCACCGAGCCCACCACAGACAAAGAAGGGAGACGTGAGCTGGGAAACCAGAGAGCCTCACCTTCCTGCCTAGCTCAGCCCCAAACATCATTTCCTGCGCCAAGACTGGCCCGATCAGCTACCTCCGCACACACACCCCACCCCGCGGTCATGTGAGGTCAAGGTCATCTTTGCCTGCCACGGACGAACATCATCACTACACGTCACACTGACGATACACCGACACGCGTGCACACATCCAGTCTTGTCCGTCCATCACATTTGACCCCCCCATCTCCTCCCCACACACACGCACGTGTCTTTCCCTCAGGTATCCCCCGAGGTCATAGCCGAGTATTTGGAGAAAGAGGGGTAATCCTTCTTGGACAGCGGGCGGTAGTGCAGAGTCAGGTCCCCTGTCTGTTTCCAGATGAAGTGTCGGACGGTGCGCAGGTCCATGTTGGGGTCTAGAACCTACAGGGGGGAGAAAGAACATGACCAGTTGGAGTGGATCAATACTCAGGGGGGAGATAGGACATGACCAGTTGGAGTGGATCAATACCCAGGGGGGAGATAGGACATGACCAGTTGGAGTGGATCAATACCCAGGGGGGAGATAGGACATGACCAGTTGGAGTGGGTCAATACCCAGGGGGGAGAAAGGACATGACCAGTTGGAGTGGATCAATACCAAGGGAGGAGAAAGGACATGACCAGTTGGAGTGGATCAATACTCAGGGGGGAGATAGGACATGACCAGTTGGAGTGGATCAATACTCAGGGGGGAGATAGGACATGACCAGTTGGAGTGGATC